AAACGAAAATACGGCTTTATCAGTCAGTAGACTTCATAACTGTTAGTTTAAGCCAGTCGCGTTGGAAGATCTAGACCGGCTCCCTGGTTAGGGTCCTCGGGATGATAAAAACCAGTGACTGGAGGCAAATAGTGAATGGCTTAAAATCGTTGTCAATGGCTGGGGCAGATGCATTCACTCTTTGTGATTTATCATATCCAATAAAATTTTGTTGTTCTTTCATATCACTATTTTTTCCTTTATACTTCTGTTTTTTATCTGTCTTTTGAATCTCTGTTTCTCCTCTCTTATGTCTTCCTCTGTGTGCTACTAAGCTTGTTTGCAAATTTCTGTATTGAAAACAGCCAGTCAATCTTCTTCATACTTATTCACTTTTCTAATAAGCATGGATCCAAAAAGCTCGATCTGCTTCCGCTAAATTACACCATCTCTGGCGTAGGCGTGACATCCGGCTATCAACCAAGGGACGTGTGTACTGCTCAGAAGTTCGCTCCGTTTTTCTCTATGGCTCTGAAAAGGTTGACTGTTTTTCTCCATAGATGTCTACGATCTCTTTCTCGTGTTAGATGGTATAATAAGGTAAGTAATGTTGACGTTAGGCGTAGAGTGTTGGGCAAAGAGGGAAAATCAATCAAAGAGGCTATAAAGTTACATAGATTGAGATGCCTTGGTCACGTGCTGCGCATGCCTAACCATCGCCTCCCCCGACGGGCATTACTAGCTGATATAGGTGCAGGTTGGAAAAGAGTAAGTGGTGGCCAAACAAAAACATAGCATCTATCCATGAAATCCTTGACAGTTAAACTGAGTCAGGTAGGGAGATGCAGACTTCCGGGCTGGGACCCGCCCTCGGGACTGTAAAAATCAATGGCTGGAGACAATAGGTGACATGGCTCAAAATCGTTGTCAATGGCTCACGCAGATGTATTCAGTCTCTGTAATCTTTCATATTCCTTTCTACCATTACTCATTCTGTTTCACTCTTATACTTGTCAAAACTCTATTGATTCTCTTCACTCATTTTCTTGTCTACCTTTGTGTGCTATTTGGAAGGTGGCAACTCGAACTGCTGCACTTCGGTGCCAAGTTCTATGTTGTAACCAGACAGACTTTTCTAATAATCTTTTGTAATTATCTAATTAATCCACTAGTGTAACTCAACTATCTTAAAAATCATGTTGAATACATATATCAAATGTATATCGGCTGAGCCTTGTTTAGAGTCAGTTAATACCTTTTGTACGTAATATAAATATAGCTGTACAGCTTGAAAACGAAGTCATTTTAAAGGAACGTTTAATTAAGTGAACTTTCACGCGCACAAACACACACCTTAAGAAAACCAGGTGTATATAGTTTTCTGCTTCCATTTATTATATTTGCATTATCTTAGTCTAACTGTGTTGTGTTTGTCCCAGTTTTTTCTAATGTATCAATGTAAAGATAGAAAAAACAAGTAATTATAATAAACGGAAATGTTTGAGTATAAGCATAAATACACGGAGAATTATGGGCTTTTAATGGATTTGGGAGATTAAAAAAATTGAACACACATACTCTATTGTAAACGTTTCTGAGACATTTCATGAACAGTCTGGAATCATTTGTTCCTAGTGTCACGAGAACTCCTACTAGGTAGGTAGGCAGGTAGGTAGGTAGTCTGCACCTCCTTACACGTGGTGCAAACTGATTATCACATACTATATCGATTGATGACATATTTTGGTTTATGATGAGGAACAAGACGACTCAGCGCATGTATGACACTTGTCTCCTAGCCAACTTAATCGATACGGTTTCTGGGTTTGAATTTTCCACGTAGAACTTCGCACAAAATTGCAGCGCTTCGAGTTACGATACTCTCCACATAACACACCAAAATAGCGAAAAATAAAAATTCAGAGGAATTGAAATGTAAGGCAGAAATAATAAGTACATCGTCAATAATAAGAATTTGATGAATCTAGGAGTTCATAAAGAATAAATGCGTCTACGCCATATTACTAACATTCTCTAGTCATTGAAGACCCTAACCAGGTAACCTTAACACAAATCAACATTCAGTGTTTTTTATGAATTCTTGTCACATTTTGATATAACCACCCAAAAGCGATGGTGACTTGGCTGGCATGCATAACACATGCCTTAACCATCTCAATCTTCCTAACACGAGTTATATTACGTAGACACCTCTTGTAAAAGGGCGACTAGCCATCGTCTCATCTCTATTTCGCAATACTCATTTCTTCTTCTTTCAAACTTACAAAACTACCCACGAAAACACGTCTATCTGACGTCTCTTTATATATATATATATATATATATATCACTCCGGTAGCTCAGCGGTAGAATGCCAGCCACGCATGTGGTTCGGGGTTTGATTGTTGGCCAACGCAATCCTTTACCTCGTTATGCTGATAATAAAGAGGAAAGGTTGGACATGAGGGTGGCAACCTCACCCCATGGAAATAAACACCACTGCCAGCGAAACTTCAAGTCTGTAGCTTGAAGAAACTCTATGTTCCACTAGGAACCTAAAGAAATATAAAAAGTTTTACAAATGGTATGCTAGAACACTTTACAAGTAACCTACCTTGAATGCTTGAATTCCTTGTCCCCTACATCGATACACATCACTTATAGAAAAAGCAATTTAATATTACGTTCAGCTATTCATACTTTTGTTGTTTTGTTTGTTTTTTAAATAACTGAAGTCAATTAGTGCTAATTAACTTTTAGTAGATTGTGTAAACTGTTAAGTAGTACTACTACACAAGTGGTGTTCTCACTATTTTTTCTCTCTCTCTCTCTATTGGAATAGAATGTAATGAATTTGTTTTCAATATTCTACTGTACAAAAAACAAACAAATAATACATGTAGCTCTTACAAGTGTGTTTATCAGATTGTGTTAATCGAATTCTGTCTGAGAAGTTTTGCCTCTTGATAATAAATTGTATAAACTGAATGATATGTATGGATTCTGTTAAGTACAACTTAGTATTAAGCATCCAACTTCCTGGGTTTAGCACATATTAGTGAGATATGTCTGTGATTTTGAACATATTCGTTCTTTCGGATATGTGTATGAAGCAGAAGTCTTTGAGGTTAGGGAGAAGGAGGATGATGATGGACTTCATTCAGTTGCCAGGTTTACCATGAGTGTCCAGCCACTTTGTTTATTGTTCATATATATGGCACACCCAGCAGATTGACTTTCAGCGTATGGGTGGGTCTTGGGTCCGAGTCCTGTTTCACATTGGATAACTATGTAGTAGTAACATTAGCCGTCACACAATAAGTATGGGTCATAGCCTGCGTCGGTGGCGCAGCGGTTAAGACGCTTGCCGACCATGCACATGGTCCGGGGTTCGATCCCCAGCCGACGCACTCCTTTACCTCGCTAAACTAGAAATAATGCTGGTGAAGAGGAAAGGTTAGGCATGAGGCTAGCAACCCCATCCTGTAAAATAAGCACTGCTACAGAAACTTCAAGCTACTAGCTCGAAGCCCTATGCTCCACTGGGGAACGTTAAGGAAATAAAAAAATAGCCTGGTACAATTGGTGAAATCTGTTTCGGACAATAACGACAACATCAGAAAGTCGTGTCAACACTTCTGACTAGTCCTCTGTGTTAGTTACCATTTTGTAGTGAAATCATGTACATTTATTCATTCTTAAATTGTGTCATTCGTAGTGTATAACTATACGAAAACCAACCATCAAGCTGGCAGAAAAGACAGGACTTCAACTGAACGCAGATAAGATGGAACTGATAAAGATAACCAGCCAACAACAACAAGCGCCGGTCACTGTCAACGGGAGAAATTTGACAGAAGTTACTTCCTTCCCTTGTCTAGGCAGCATTGTTTAAACTACAGGCGGAACGGATAGGGATATCATAAGCAGAATCGGAAAGGCAAGACAGACATTCATCACTAAGCGATCGGGTTGGGAAATATTCTGCACTCCGTACAAGGAACACCAGTATTAAGTCACTCAGTTCTATATTGGTCAAAAACTTCATTCTGGCGTCACGAAGAGCATTTCCAATAGCTAACTGTATACTTTAACAACAGCTGCTTTTACTGACTCCATATTGAAGGTCACATCGCAGGCACGAAAGAATTAGCAACAAGAAACTCTGGGAAGGAACCTGTTACTCAATAAATATGTAGAAGAAAATGGAAATAGATGGGACACATGCTGAGGAGACAGTTGAGTGTTACCTGGATGAGAAACAATGAGCTGCGTTTTCGAGGTTGGCCTGACGGAGATCAAAGCCAATGGACTATTGTAGAGCCAGTTAGAGCAGACTCCGGAGAGCTGGACAAAATTGAGATATGCTGTGCAGCTCCTATGTTCTACTCGGAACTCAAAGGTGCAATAATAAAAAGTATAACTAGGTAGTTCGTAAGATTCGGTAATGACTTAGGCAGATTCAAGGCATAAATAGAGAGTGACTTTTTCGGAGTTGTATGTGTACTTACCTAAAGGCATCCTGATCATTAGCTTCTAGTTCATCGTTCCGTCTTTATTCTGTGTTAATCTTCAGCTTACTAGTTGACTTATAGTCTTCACTTATAATGTGCATTCTGTGTTTTAAAGAGTTAAATGGTTGTCGTTGTATAAGATATGTAACCCAGATGCACAAACCTAATTTATTAGGCTTACTTACGCATTCAAAACAATAGGTGCTGCATGCAATTCTCAATGAAAATACCATCCCTCACTGGGAATGCAGTTGATGAGTCTCAAATGGGATGAAGTGTGCACCCTGGATTCCACTGTCAGGCACCATCAACCAGATAAAAACCATGTTAGCTTTCAGATATCCCTACAGCGTCCGTACTGGGAACCGACATGTCAGCGGAGATCGATCCGGTAAAAATCACTCAACGAGATAGGAGATAAGACTTCTTTGCTATTTTTCATTTGTACTATCCTATGCATTTGTATTCCTTGACTTCAGTCTTCTTGAAACACTGTTTCTTTTCCAGTCTCATGGTAAATTGGCGGTTTTCTCGTGGTGTAGAAGATCAGACAAATGCATTCCTTACTGGCTTTGAAGATGTTTTCCCACTTCAATGGCTACAGTACTTTGATGAACGAGAATTAGAGGTAAGTGAGGTTTATTTTGTAGTAATTAATTAGTTGTTATTATAGTTGGAAAGTTATAGAAACCGATTTGTACAAATGTTTGAAAAACTTATATATGTGTCCTGTGTTCCAAGTACGGTGAATGTGTCATCAACGTACCTCCTATCCATAAATATATCTGCCACAATCGGAGATATCGGTGACACCACGGCAACTCCCTCAGTTTGTTTGTATATTTTCTCTTGGAACTTAAATACTGTAGAAGCCAGACATAGGTTCACTCCTATCATTAGGTCTTCTAGTGGCACTTTTGTTCCAAGTTCAAGTTTTTGGTCAGAAATGAATTCGTTTCTGACTGCCTCTATAGCCATATTTATTGGTAGACGTGTATATAAACTGACAATGTCAAAACTAACCATTTTTTCCTCACTATCTAATTTTAAATTGTCTAATATATGCTTTAGTTCATAGGAATTTGTTAGTCTAAATTTTAAATGGCTTCTAAGCGGATTTAATACCATAGGTAAATATTTAGACAATTCATAAGTACGGGGATTTCTAAAATCATTTATACGCTTAATAGGATATTCTGACTTGTGAACTTTAACAACACCATACATCCTACTGGAGTTATTAGCTTTTGGCATTAAATTAAACCATTTTGACTCATCTAGAAACGGCTTTATTCGACTTATAAGGAAGGTCATCTCTGGATTTCTTAACATAATAGTATTTATTGATTTCTTAATTTCTGCGTATGCTCCTTTTCGTATATGGGTATTAACCCCTTCCAAATAGTCTGATTTGTCTAATACTCCTGTTGAATTGTCTTTCTCTGATTTACTGATTATTATATCTTTGTTAAACAAGTGTTATCTTTTGTGTTTTCTTGCACTAACTAACTATGTAACTTATATTGGCTTGTCATGAAGTCTATTTTGATATTAATTACTATTGACGAGTATTAATTGCGTGTGAATTATTCGCTTCCATATCCTTGCTACTTACATTTGGTGTTTTCGAAGTTCAATAGAGGTTCTGAATGGTAACCGCATATATATATATATATATATATATATATATATATATATACAGACATGCATGCATTACACATGCCCTGGCCATCTCAATAGGGCGAAGTTCAATAATAGCGTCCCAGGAGTGTGAACTCTCCAATGACCTTGAACGCATGCTAGTCGTTGGTTAACGGCACCTGTCATTATTATAGCTGAAATGTCAACGCTCTTCACCAACTTAGGAGCAAATTTCACCCAGATCACGTTTGTAAGTACTGTTTGGACAATGTGTTAATAGCTCGTTAGGGTTAGGATTAGGGCTAAGGTATGTATTGGCGTTAGGGTTAGGATCAGGTTTATAGTTAGCATTAGGGTTAGAATTACGGTTAGGATTAAGGTTAGGGTTAGTGTTAGGGTCAGGATTAAGCTTATGGTTACGATTAGGGATAAATTTCTAGTTGATGTCATTTATTTGAATTTGTTTTATTATCCACGTTTTCCTGGTAAGTATTCGTCTATCCTCTTCCTGGAAACCATAACAATTCAACCGAGGACGTTTTTGGAAGACTGCAAGCAGGATGAGAGAGATAAACGATTCACAAAAACAGTTTATATGTACTCATCTTGATGAATACATGAGCAGAAACTAGTCTAACTAGCAACTGATACTCCTCGTTATAACTAGGACGTATTTTTAAGCCATGTGAGAGAAAGATAACCTGTTTAATGCGTTTTCTTGTCATTACACATCATTTTTTGAGCAAACATTCCTCATTTTTATGAATGGTCAGCTGAAAGTCACTCGTGCGTTCGCACTCCTGGGGCGCTATTGTTGAACTTTGCCCTCAATCGGTGTAGCTTCACAACCTCATCGATTATTTTCCCTTCTTTAGCTACCACCCGACGCCTAACCTCAATATTACTCATCTGATTAAAGCATCTAACATGGGAAATAGAACGCAGACACTTACGATCAAAGTCAGCTAGCCAGGCTTTTCATGTTGTTCCACTTTCAATGACCATGTCTTGCTCACAGCCATAAAGGAAAATGGAGGAGTGAACTGCTGAGCAGTATACACGTCCTCTTGTCGACAGCTAGTCAGTCAGATATCACGTCTACTGAGTCAGAGATTGCTTAATTTGACAAATGCCTATTGCTTAAAAATATTCAGAAAAAATTGGAGATGGGTTGGACACACCCTGAGAAGATCGTTGAGTAATATCGCGCGTTGGGGTTGGGATCCTCGAGATGGTAAAATGGTTGGAGACAATCGGTGATATGGCTCAGATGCATTCAGTCTTTGTGACTCATCATATCCAATAAAACTCTATTGTTTTTCCATATTACTATTATTTTCGCCACACACTTCTGTTTATTATCTCTCTCTTTCTTTTGAATCCCTTCCGTTGCTTTGTATGCTACATGGAGAGTGGCAACTCGAATTGCTGGACATTTGTACAAAGTTCTATGTTTTGATCCAATCATTCAGATATCGCGCTATTCAGATCCTCTGGCGTAACCTGAATGGGAAAGGACGAGTTGGCTAGTGTCTGAAGGTGATTTGTAGGAGTTAGAAGCCAATGGGTAAACTTCAGAGAACTGGAAAAAAATGCAGATGTGCTGTTAAAGCTCTATTTGTCTACTCGGAACCCAAGGGAGAATAATCATAGTAATCTGTTAAGAATCACTCTCCGAAGAGGAATTTTAACTAGAGGTGTATTGCATTGCAAAACAGCTAGCTTTGATCAAACGTAAACTTTATGTGAGTTGGGCGTGAAGATGAACACTCTTCTCTTAATGTGAAGCTCAGGAGTTCAGTCTCTGGTAGGGTCACAAACACGCACTAATTGAAGAGTTCCAAATAAAGACGCAACAGCTGCCAGGTACGCCCTGGTTTCCAATGGTTATGTAACTAAAATGATATCAGTTTTTGATAAAACTTGAAACACATCAACTCGCTACAAACTAACACTTGGAGGCTAAACTGATGCTGACTAGTGACTGATTACAGGACGAAGTCGCCTGAAGTTCTAATGAGAAGTCGTTGCCAGTTAAGTTCACCAGGTCGGGCGTGAAGACTGTTAGTAGTCGCCGATGACATTATCGAACAGTGAAAATTATTTATCAAGTATTCCTTACTGTCTTGAAGCTTTTTTTAGTAGTGTTTACCTTACACAACCCTACTGGGTATAATTTTTTCTTCTTTTTAATCTTGGGCACTAATGTTTAATTCATGCTGTGATTCACCTCCTAATTTTTATTCAGAATCTCTATTTGCTTGTATGAGTCCCAACATCGACCAAAGGGTGGGTGTACTGCTCAGCAGTCCGCTTCGTCCTCCTAAATGGCTGTGAGACCTGGCCATTGAGAGTTGGGGACATGAAAAGCCTGGCTAGCTGTCTTTGATGATAGGTGCCTGTGTTCTATCGGCTGTGTGAAGTGGTATAGTAGGGTGAGCAACACTGAGGCTAGGCGTCGAGTTCTAGGTGAGGAGAGGAAATCAATCGACGAGGCTGTGAAGCTGCATCGACTGAGATGGTTAGGACATGTGCTACGTATGCTTAATCATCGCCTTCCTCGACAGTGGGCAATGTTAGCTGACATAGGGTCAGACTGGTAAAGAGCTAGCGGCGGTCAAACGAAAACATGGCACCAGTCAATGAAATCCACAACAGTTAGTCTAAGCCACGTAGGAAGGTGTAGACTTCCTGACTGGTTGGGGTCCTCGGGACGGTAAAAACCAATGGCTGGAAACAATTGGTGACATGGCTCAAAATCGTTCTCAGTGGCGCAGATGCATCCACTCCTCGTGACTTATGATTTCAAATGAAACTGTTTTGTTCTTCGTTATTGCTATTCCTTTGTCTCATACCTCTGTTTACTGTCTATATTATGCATTTCTCCTACTTTCTTCTCTTGCTTTGTGTGCTACATGGAGTGTGGCGACTTGACCTGCCACACATCGGTGCAAAGACAGACAGACATCTGGCTATATTTGTCATCGCAGTGTTATATATTTTGTGAACTTCTTACCCCCAACCTTAGATACTTCCGAAGAAAAATATTCAGTAATCAATTTTTTAAAATTATTTTTGCCTTGAAATTTTTATCATTTTTTTATATTTTTAGTTCAATTTACTTGAAATTATTGGCTAACTATATTTATAGCGGTACTATTATTATTTTTTGTATCTACCCCTAAGTGAATTTATAGATATGATCTAAATTCGCACATATATATTCATTCCATGTAACTGTCTGTATCTCTCATGCGCTCGCACACACGCACACACACTACTTACGTCAAGTTTGCTTAATTTCTAGTCGTGGTAGATGCGCTTACGCCATATCTCACTCTGTCAGGGAGATGTAGTAACTTCATTAGACCACAATAAGAATATATATATATATATATATATATATATATATAGGCTTATTTGTGATGAATGATTATTTTTAGGTATATATGAGTCAATTTTAGACAGTTATTAATAGTAATAATGATAATAATCATATATATCACAAATATCTTATGGGTGGATAATACATCAATCAACTATTATCTGTTAAAGTGACTATTCACTGTGTGTTGGGTTTGCTTTTTGTTGTTGTTGTTGTTGTGTAGGTATTATTATGTGGTATGCAACAAGTTGACGTCGATGACTGGCAAGCGCATACAATCTATAAGAAGTATGATGCACGATCTCCACAAGTTATATGGTTTTGGAAAGTGAGTCATTTAATCGTTATCTCGTTATTATCTCATTAATTTAAATGCTCAAATTACTTTTTCTTTTTTTTCAACTCTTTTTTTATTCGATTGCATCTTGTGAAAGTGTGTATACTGGTGTCCATCTTATAGTAGTCTGTTCTGTGATATTTAATTCATATCCATAATGTAGTTATTGGTGAGAAATGGACATTGAAAGTGGAAGGCTAGTTGTCTTTTTGACTACAGGTCTTTACTTGTTGTTGTGGCCCGCGTTAAGTAGTGGTATTGAGATCAGGCATAGAGCGTGCTAGGTAAGCATGGGGTTGTGAAGCTACATTGACGGAGAGATGGCTAGAACATGTGGTTCGCGTGCTTAGCCACTACCTTCCTCGATGGGTAATTATTATTACTATTATTGTTCCCTTGGGTTCCTGGTGGAAAATAGGGCTTCAACTGCACGTCTCCACTTGCTTCTGTCTTTTACTGTACTTCTCACCTGCGTCCATGTTAGTCCATACCGTTTTAACTCTTCTTCACACGATCTCCTCCATGTCACCCTCGCACCGACGAACCACTCGCCGCTTCCCTTTCGGGTTCCACTCGAGCATTGGCCTGACGCGCGATGTCACCCAGCGACTTCCTCACCCTCAGCGAGTGTCCAATCCATCTCCACTTTCTCCTGTATATTTGTTGGGCGATTGGTTCTTGTTTTGTTGGTTTCCATAGTTTCTTGTTGGTGATTCTTTCCGGCCATCTGATCTTGAGTATAGAGCGAAGACAGTTGTTGATAAAGGTCTGCAACAGGCTGTTGGAAATATTCTTCGTGACCCGCCAAGTTTCTCATCCGTATAGCAAAACTGACTTGACGTTTGTATTGAAAATCCGAATTTTGTTGTTGATGCAGGCTGAGTGACGAAGATTTCCAGATTGGTTTCAGGTTGATGAATATGTTTCTCGCCTTCCCGATTCTCTATTTGACATCCTCGTCCGTCCGTTTCTCCTGTAGTTGAGACAATGCTCCCTAGCTAAGTGAATGAAGTAACCTCTTTCAAATCCCTCCCGTTGATAGTGATTGGCGCTGGAAGTTGCTGCTGTTGTTGTTGTTGTTGTTGGTTGGTTATTTTCATGACCTCCGTCTTGTCTATGTTCACCTGGAGTCCTGTCTTCTCTGGCTGCTTCTTCGACCAGTTTGTCGGTTTTCGCTTGTAAGTCTTCGATTTTGTGTGACATCAAACATAAATCATCGACGCGCGAAATCCAGGTCTTCTAGATTCTTCACGTCGGTCCAGGATATCCCTGTCTTCTCGTTTCCCACTGTCTGATGCATAATCCAGTCCACCACAATTAGGAATATCATTGGTGATAATAATAAGCACCCTTGTCTGACTCCTGTGTTTACTCCAAACGCCTCGGTGATTTTTCCGTTGTGGATCACTTGACATGTGCCGTTGTCGTACAGCTGTTGAATAAGGTTGATGAATATTTGGGGTACGCCGAAGTACTCGAGTGGTTTCCAAATTACTTCGCGGTCAACGCTGTCGAAGGCCTTCTCAAAGTCTATAAAGTTGAGGTAGATGTTTGATTGCCATTCCATGCTTTGTTCGATGATGATGCGTAGAGTTGCAATTTGGTCAGAACATGATTTGCCTTTCCTGAATCCAGCTTGTTCTGGTCGGAATTCTGCATCCAGTGCGTCGTTTATTCTCTCCAGGATGATGCGACTCAGGATTTTACTTGGCGTCGACAGGAGCATGATTCCTCGCCAGTTCTTGCAGAGTCCTAAGTCGCCTTTTTTTGGTAGTTTCACAAGGTAACCTTTCCTGCAGTCAGTAGGCACCTTTCCCTCTTTCCAGATCTTTTGCAGTAATGGAGTCAGCATATCTGCCGTCGTTTCTGGGGCCGCTTTCAGTGCTTCCGGGGGTATTCCATCTGGTCCAGCTGCTTTTCCAGCTTTCAGAAGCTTCATTGCATTCAAAACTTCAGTTTTCGTTGGAGGATTGGTGTCAACTTGCAGTTGTGTACGCGCTGTTGTTGGTATTTCTGGACGAGTTGTAGGTGGTGGTTGGTTCAAGAGTCCTATGAACTGATCCGCCCATTGTTTAATCTATTTTTCTTCCTTGGTAATTGGGTTCCCTTGGCTGTCTTTTATAGGTTTCGATGGGTAATGTTAGCAGATATAAGATTCGGTTATAAAAGAGTTAGTGATGGTCTAACGAAAGCAGCATCGGTTTATGTAGTCTTTGACGGTTGGTTTCAGCTAAACACTTAGGGAAGTATAGGAGGTTGTCTGGTTATGGTGTCCTCAGGATTCTAAGAACCAAATGATTGGAAACTGTTAGTGGGTGATATGGCTCAACACCATTCATCATCATTCACTCTTTTTGTGATCTGCTTTTTATGCATTAAACCTTCATGTTTTTCTACCGCATATTTCTTCTCATTACTGATCGTTTAGATTTCTTTTATCTACCTTTGTATTCTACATAGAGTGTTATAACTTGAACTGCTACACTTCTGTCCAAACTTCTGTGTTAAAGCCCAGTCAGTAGTTATTGGTTTACACCATTTTCTGTTCATGTCAATCTTGCCATGCTGCTATCACATTTACCTTGTCGAATATTCCTAGCTGACATACGATTGGCCCGAAAAAGAGTTGGTCAGTTAGTTAGTTAGATAAAGGTGGTAGTCAAACCCAAAATATGCCTATCGATGCATGAAGTATTCGACTGTTCGTTTGAATCACACAGATTAGTTTCGGTTGTTTCACTAGGGTCGTGGAGAGACGCTAAGACCTATCGGCTTGGCATGGAGTGTGGCAATTTGAACTGCCTCACATAGGTGCAAAGTTCTACGTCGAAAACAGACAGATCGGCATGGCACAATTGACAATACGCTACAAAATCGTTCTCAATGATGCAAATACATTCACTGTTTGTAGTCCCTTAGGTGTATTGAATTCTTATATTGGTCCTTATATAGATTTTCGTTTGTTATGGGTTTTTCTCATATGTTTTTTTCCTTTCTATTTTAATGTGTACTGTTATGAAGTATGATAATGTGAACAACTGCTTGCTTCACTGTTGTGCAAAGTTTTACGTTAACAATTCCGTGTAATTTCGGTTTACGTAATCGCATATTTTTAATTTTAATTTAATTTTGATTTACAGCTTGATTCCACACCGTATTTTCAGTACAAGTATGGAACTTTCAGCATGGATATCGGTAGCCCAAATTCAGGCCGACCATAGATATCGGGTGTGCGCCGGCGGGGGATCGAACCCCGAACCATGTGCATGGTCGGCGAGAGTCCTAACCACTGTGCCACCGACGACGTACTCGTACACGTACTCGTGGTGGTGGTTATAAATACAGCCACTTATCAATAAATTTAGATGTAGAATATTCTTTAATGTTAATTGACAAGTCTTTAACACCTGTAAGGGATTTTATAACGACCTTCGTAATAGAACAAATATTAGGATAAAAATCCAAGTTAATGAAATTATAGTGTACCAGTACATTATAAAAAGTACAGTTAATGAGTTCTAGAAATTAATGAGTATTTGGTTATGCAGTTAAAGTTCTCTGCTATAAATTATTAATATGATCCACAGAAGTGTTCACTACTGGAGTCGTTTCTACTAGTAAAAGCTGTGCACCGGTTGGAGAAATACTCTTTGGACGAGGACGAGAGGTTCCTGAAAAAATCCAAAGGATACAACACGGTTAGTAGTGAAGCAAGTAGACAGTATGGACAAGTGAGAAGACGAAGTGTCGAGCAACACACTGTGTTTTAGATTGTACTCCGAAGTTATGTATATTTTTTAACATGAGTCGTTCTTAACAAAAGTTGTTCACGATGTTTCTATTTTTAACATCTAACAAAAAAATTGTACATTCGTATTGTTCCAGACCTCCACAAACCTGTTGTCGATTGCATTTCCATCTATGTGTGTGTGTGTGTGGTGTTCATTAGTGTGAGAAAAAATAATTAGCTATAAGATCAGTCTCTGTGATCTCCTTGCTATAGAAGATACGCATGGAGCTTAGTTAGTTATTTGCAAATTAAATCATGATTAGCTTGCAGGACTCCAAATATGTATTAAGGTCGTTTATAGTACTGATTGTGATTTGGTTGGCCAGTTCAAGCGCTTGAAGTGACTGTGGTCTGATGGTTTGGTGGTTTGGAGTGATTCAGCTCTCTCACAGCTGACTTAAACGAGAGAAATTGGTTGTTTAAGTGTTTAGATTACTTTGGTCAGACTAGGGAGCAGCACTACTGCTTGATCTGATTTTTTCCAACTACTCACACCAGTTAATCAGTAGTATGTGACTTCATAAATATTTTATTTTTTTTTTAATCTGTTGGTTAATGGGACTGACTTCGCATTATGTGTTTATCTTCCTAACCATAGTTTTACTAGTTTCATGCTAAAAGAGCGGAGGGGGGGATGACTAATAAATCCCCTCGAGTTATACGTGTCTAGTTAATTATTCAAAGTTTGGACGTTGATATGTGCTGAAATAATTTGATTGTATCTTTTTATTCACGAAAACTACCCATCCAGACATAAGTATAAGAACAAACAGTTCAGTGAAGAGTCTCTTTTCGACGGTGAATTCATTCACTTAGGTGTACAATTGCAATTATTATAATTATTTTTGTATGTGTGTGTGTACATTATGTCTGTCACAGACAAGAATAAAAATTAGTTAGGGTTATTGTTTACGTCATCAAAATGTTTCAAAAAACTGTGATGAGTGATCAAATTGTAACTAGGGTTGATGAAGATTAGTAAGTTTTGACTGGAGTTACGTAATAGGAAAAAACGTTTAGAAAAAGAAAAGGATGTTAATGAAAGCGCAGGGAGACAAGTGTCTAAAATAAATTATGTAATTGGTTAAAAAAAGTAAATAGGTTAGTTTCGAAAAAAATGGTGTTCCTAAAAATTATTTTTGTTCCCTTGGGTTCCTATTGGGACATAAGGCTTCAACTACACGTATCCACTTGCTTCCCTCTTCTACTGTACTTTTCACCTGCATCCATGTTAGTACATACTGTTTCAACTCCTCTTCACACGATCTCCTCCATGTCACCCTTGGACGTCCCACTAGGCACTTCCATTTCGGGTTCCACTCGAGCACTGGCCTGACCAGCGATGTCGCTCAGTGGCCTCCTCAGCGAGTGTCCAATCCATCTCCACTTTCTCCTGCATATTTGTTGGTGGCGTGGTGGCGTACGCCTATAATCTAGCTACTTGGAGGCCAAGGTGCGGAATTTCGTGGGACCGGGAGTTCTGGCATATGGGTGCCCATGTTTATGGGGCGTCCACGCTAAGCACGGCGCCGATATGGATGACCTGTCGGAGGACGGGTTGTCCAGGTCGACTAAGGAGGGGCGCACCGGCCCAGGGGGGAAACCCAGCAGGCAAAAGTCCCCGCGAGGTGCGGTTCCTAAAATTACCATACGAAAAATACACAAGATAGTATTGATAACAAAATAGTTGAATTTGGGATAATATCCCTAGGTAGAAGGAGGGGGTGGAGAAGTGTCTTCTGTGTACATAAATCAGGGTTCTCCATCGGCATTGGCAGTGCAAAGTATACGGAAGCTTACTGTTTTCGGGAGGCTTCTTTTGACTTTGTATGAATTCTCCTTACATATTGAACGGCCAGTGTTGAATATATGTTCAATTATAGCACTGCTTATTGACCCACTTTTACCTATACGCAGCCAAGCAGGATAATGTTCTTTAACTCTTTTAGATAAAACACGCATCAAACAACCTGTATATATCTCGCTCCATGTGGGCAAGTGAATTGGTAGATACACACGGAAGTGGTCGAATGTGATAGGTTATCTGTAGAGTTGTTGAAGAACATTGGGTGTCATGAGAGAATACCAATCATAATTTAGCAGCAGAGAATGTTCTTTTCGTGGCTTTGGATATTCTCTTCTTCAGGATGTCAACCAGAAGGTCGCCTCTGAATGCCACACTCATGTATAACATCTTTGGTACAGAGATGGGATGTCCTTTGTTAGTTTTTGGCTGTTTTTATCTGTTTATCTTTAAAGTGTGAGGGATAGGCATTCTCAGGTAGTGTCTTACACAAAAGAATGATCTCTTCTTCTACTGATTCAGGACTGCAGATTCTTCGGATTTCTAGTCACAAGAGATATTATCAGCTTCTGCTTGTGACTAATGGGTATCCAACTGTTTTTTTTTTAAATCCATGAATAATTTCTATCCAGTCATTAGTTAAACGAAATAAGCCAATTGTTCAGCGAAGAAGCTGTTTTCTGCGGATTCATCTCCTTTAGGTATACAATCCGGGCGTTAGAGTTACGTAATAACGTAAATGATTTAGTGAATGGGTTTTAATCAGGATGCTCATAGAAACAGAGGGAGATTGGAACGTTACGAAAGAGGTCTAAAGAAGTAGAACCTATCGTGGTGCGTCGGTGGCACTGTGGTAAAATGCTCGCCTACCACGCATGTTGTCCGAGGTTCGATCCCCGGCCACTGGACGCACTCCTTTACCTCGCTAAGCCATTGATAAGACTGGTAAAGAGGGACGGTTAGGCATGCGGCTGGCAACCTCACCTCGTGGAAAGAAACATCACTGCTACCGAGTCTCCAAGCATCTAGCCTGAAGCTCCATGTTCCACTGGGAACGTAAACGAATAAAAAGAGAACCTGTCGTCCAACCAGTATGCAGAAGCACTCGGGGGAGACCGTTCAGTAACATCTCTCATCACGCCATGTAACAGAACCCTAATGGAAAACAAGCTGGGCGTATGAGAGTAATATGAAGGAGACCATATGACGAGAAGATGAGCTTTTCTGGGTAATTGTTCCTACTGACTGACAGACTGAGCACTAGGCCTTTCTGGAAGTTGGTCGACTAATTATAGCCTTTTTCCTCAGTTCGTGTGTGTCTGTATTATTGCATTGTATAAATTGTCATTTCAGTGTGTTAATGAATTTTTTTATTCCTTCTTCTAACCAATCACTGAGCAAAATTTTATTGTTGAAACATTTCAGTTTGTTCGAGGATTAACTCAACAGAAACGTATCCGATTATTACAGTTTGTAACAGGGACTTGTCGTCTCCCTGTTGGAGGATTTAAAAATCTTATGGGTAAGTTGTTGTTGTTGTTTTTTCTTTATTGATGTCAAGATGTATATATCATAACTATTAAATTAAGGTTTCTTGTTACATGAATTCATCGATATGGAATTAACTTATGTATTTGAGTTAAAAATATGCCAGAGATTGTCGATATTGTTTCAGTTGTAACTGTGATAGTGATCGGGGTGACGAGAAGTGGAACCCACTAGACGTATTTCATCCTACTTGAGACTCGTCATCTGGAAATACCGTAATCCCCAATCGGTGATGGTGTTGCTACTGAGTCTCGAACCCCCCAGTACCCATCATTTTAAACGCCACTAGACCCCAGGTCAACGCGTATCAGTTGCTATTTGTTTCCCATTGGTTGATTACATTGGATCTTTTTTTCGCATGCTTTTAACCCATGTTTGTGTGAAATAGGCGCTTTCGTGCCTAAGTTGCATGATTCCTGATGTTCATTGATGGTGGATAATATCTACAATTCAATTATCAAATTGTACAAGCTATGTGATAGCGGTTAGGACGCTCGCCGACCATGCATATGGTCCGGGGTTCGATACCCGGTCGATGCACTCCTCCCTTACCTCTCTAAGCCAGAAATAATGCTGGTGAAGAGGGGAGGTTGGATATGAGGCTAGCAACCCCATCCTGTAAAATAAACACTGCTACAGAAACTTCAAGCCACTAGATTGAAGCCCTAGGTTCCACTGGGGAACGTGGAGGAAAAAAATAGTAAAAAAACAAGCTATGTGAAGATGGTCCTATTGTCTACTAATTACAGGGTATATCATCATTCAAAAGTAAACTCTCTCTCTTACTATATTATACTGTGAAACGTAATCACTACTAGCCAGGAATTTACGAAGAATTCAAGTATTTAACCATTGTTTAATTCAGTTTCGACTTTCTCATATCGATTGAATCAACCTGAGTGCTTGGCTGGGGTCTGTTGACATGTCGACTCTTTGTGCAGATGCTTCGGCGATATCTGAAAATTTAACTTGAAGTGATCAGTCACTAGGGAATGCAGGTACTACGTCCAGATAACGAGTCTCAAATAGTACGAAACGCGCATTCTCAATTCCACTGCTAGTCACCATCCCCTGAATTATTTAATCATTGGTTAATCTGATTGCAATACGTGCAATGCTTATTTTGATGCGGAGTGTTGGGCAAAGGAATCCGAAGTTACAAATCGTCGTCACCTCAGGTGACTAGGGTATGAATGCATTATGCTTACTTACCCTACATTTAACCCAATGTGTTATGTTAGGAAGTACAATAACGTTAACCGCAAAGTCCTCTGACTGTTGATCTGATCAGTTTTATAAGGAACTTCACATAACCACATGCATTTGTGTTCAGAAAGAGAGTAGCTCAGTGGGGTAATTTTTCCTACTGTATTACCGAGTGACGCTAGATCGAATATCAGGGTAAGACATTCGTCACTTTAAGGCTGAAGATATACATTACTGCTGAGAGAGAGAGAGAGTATCATTATAAGCAGGAAACTTAGAGATTCAGGATTTCCTGTCGATCGATTGCCTTGGTAAGTCTTCTAGCTTGGTGACCACACCAAGAATTGACTTATAGAGTTTAGGTAACTTCGATATATGACCAATGAATACAGACATTGATTTCATTTATATGAGGTTGTAATCATTAGCTCATAAATTAGTGGGCATAAATCACTGACCTTTTACAAACCATACTGATATTCAAGTGTCACGCATGTTTATTACTCAGATTACTCTTCAAATTATACAATTTCATTGAATTGAAATGGATGACAACGTGATTTTGAACTATGGATACCTCTACACATCAGCAAGACAGGTGATTTCCTTAAAACATTCTATCAGTGTCTTTCAACTGTAAGTTTCTTCGATAATTGCAGTAAAATACCTGTGGGAGCACTGAACCAGTTGCTTGTTGCTGCTTAGTTAGTTGTACAAGTGAGAATAAAAGCTATCGCAAGATGTTTTGTGCATAGTATAACGAACGCCAATTTTAAGTCAGTCAGAAACTTGGCGAACACGTCATAAAAAATCTTACCAACAGGCGACTACACACTCTTATCAACAGCTGCCCCTCTTCGCTGGATCCATATTGAAGATCAAATGGCCTGTCAAAAAGAATTAGCAACAAGAAACTCTGGGGAAAAACCAAACATGTAGAAAAAAACGGAGATGGATTGGCCACACTCTGAGAAGGCTGTTGAGTGACACCCCTCGCCAAGCCATCATTAGAGCTGAAACCGAATGAGAAATGACGAGTTGGCCTTACGTCCGAGGATATATGTGACAATGATCAGTTGTGGGGTGAAGAGGACTGCAGAGAATAGAACGAAGTGGAGATATTCTGTTGAAACCCTGTATTCCACTCGGAACCCAAGAGAATACCACAATAGATACTCGAGCTGTATGAAAAGTTTGATAAAAACACCTTTAATACAGGCCAACGTGTAACAACTGATATGCGTGTGACATTCCTCTTAGCAAGTTGTTATACACAAACACACAAGAAGACCAAATACTACCTGAGAAAATTAAAATCGTAACTCTGACCCCCCTGTGCTCGTCCTATTCAAGAATATGGAGACAAAAGCGCAGCTAGTCTTTTTTCTTTGCAGTAATTTATATATATTTATATATATATATATATATTCCATACCTTTGTGTTTTACTTTATACGGAGTGTGTGACACCTTGTGAACTGCTGCACTTCTGTGTTGAAATGTTGACTCCCACTATTTTTGAGATTGCCTTTGTCGGAGTGCCACCGACAATTATACATCTCATCCAACAGTTGTACGACAATGCTGCATACCAAGTAATCCACAACGGGAAACTTACGGAATCCTTCGAAGTGAGGATAGGAGTAAGACAAGGCTGCCTACTATCACCAATTATTTTCCTGATTGCAGTAGATTGGATAATGCGACAGACATTGACCCGGGCAGATAGGAAACAGGCATAAAATGGACTGACACAAAAAACTTGGAGGATCTGGACTTCGCCGATGATATATGTCTGATTTCCCACAAACTGGAAGATATGCAAGCGAAAAGCAACAAGTTGGCAGAAGAAGCATCAAAGATAGGACTTCAGCTGAACAAAGAGAAAACAGAGGTAATGAAGATTCCTGGACAAGAATAACAACAGCAACAACAACAACAGACAACAATCAGCATAAATGGAAGGAACCTGAAAGAAACAACCTCCTTTACCTACCTGGGAAGCGTCGTTTCAACTACAGGCGGAACTGACGAGGATATCAAGGCAAGAACCGGAAAAGCAAGACAAGCTTTCACTACTCTCAAGTCTGTGTGGAGGTCAACAGCACTCAGCATCAAAAATAAGATCCGGATTTTCAACTCCAATGTGAAGTCAGTCAGTGCTACTATACGGATCAGAGACTCGGCGCGTCATAAAGACTTTCATCAACAGTTGTCTTCGCTCAATACTCAAGATCAGGTGGTCAGAAACGATCAGCAACAGAGATCTCTGGCAATGAGCGAACCAACCAGGAACCGATTGTGAAACAAATAAGCAGGAAAAAATGGAGATGGATTGGCCATACTCTTAGGAAACCATCAAGTGACATCACTAGACAAGCCATTGCTCGAGTGGAACCCGAAAGGGAAGTGGCGAGTTGGTCGTCAGTGCAAGGGTGACTTGGAAGAGGTCATGTGAAGAGGAGATGAAAGCGTGTGGGTAGACTTGGAGCCAGAGAACCGAACGCAATGGAGACGCACGGTTGAAGCCCTATGTTCTTCTAGGAATTAAAGGAAACAATAATAATAATTTTTCATCATTTAATTTCTAATGTTTCTCATTACTTGCAAAGGAAACTAGTTAACCTGTTTCTAGGTGTGGGTGTGTACATACTTAGTAAAGTCGCCTCCTTTTTTTATGTATTCTACTTGTATCAGAGTAGAAGTAGCGCGCAATTTACTAAATAACTGACTACCAGCTAACTCATCAAACGGGTGTGACAGAAAACGTATTGAGTACTGTTATTATTATTATTATTATAATTATTGTTGTTGCTGTTATCAGTAGTATAGAGTATCCTATGTACACAACATAGGATATGAGATAGTCACATGCGTGTTTATCCAAAAACAATATCATTATTATGATTATTAAATTGATCTCTCTGTCAATCTTTTTTTTATAGTATTCACATTTAATGCCCACCCCTCCCCCTCCTAATTTGTTGTACTACACCTTTTTTTAATATTTCAAATGAACAAAAAAGTACAAATTACTTTCCCGTTATTCATATCCCTTTTTTCTCTCTCTCTCTCTCTCTAAGGTAATAATGGTCCACAACCATTTTGTATTGAATATATTGGCAAAGAATCCTGGCTACCACGGAGTCATACATGTTTTAACCGATTAGATTTACCGCCTTATCGATCCTATGAACAATTAGCAGAGAAATTATCATTTGCTATTGATGAAACTGAAGGTTTTGGACAAGAATAATACTTTCCAATGTACACAGAGACACAAAAGTCTACATAATATCCATTTAGTTTTGCTGATGGATCTTGTGTGCCTTCTTCGTTGGTGTGGTGCATATGAACCAGATCAGTTGATGATGATCTGTGAAATAAGAAATTAACATTCCCCTTCCCCCCCCCCAACTATTATCAATTCGTCTTCTTTTTTTAAAACAAAAATTTATTCAGAGAATTAATTAATTAATGTGTATGTGTAAAGAAGAGAATGTGAGCAGTAGTAGAAGACGAAAGTGTGATGGATATATATATATATATATATATATATATATATATATATATTTGACACTGACATTTTACACTTGCTCTCGATCTTCTTGTAATGATTATAAAATTACTGTTATTATTTTCTAAAGCATTTGTTCTGTAGACTTTTATTCGATTATTTCAGTAATATATACATATGTGACTAAATTTTCCTTTGTAATCCAACATCCTTCTACGCTTTGTCTTCTTGAGATAACCAATAAACCTTAAAAAGGTTTTTTTGTATTGAATCTATAAGGAATACTGACTAATGTGACGATGATAATGGTGCGGATGACAGGCTTTTGTGAATATACTGTATACGTTAATGTATTTATAGACACATATATTATATTAGTAATTCTTTATATTGTATGTTCAGTTCTCCTCATATATATATAATGAAAATATTGCAAAATATGAACTCGTCTTCCTGTTATTGTTGTTGCTATGCTGAGTAAACCTACAACACACACACACACACATACAAACAAACGCTTAACTAATTAACCAACTGGCTGTGTTATTATTATTAGTATCTATCTATCTGTCTATCTAACATAATGTTTCTCTTTCATTCATGATTTCTTTTATCTTATTTTGTGGTTGTCGTTAGTTATTATTATTATTATTCCGTTTGTTTTCAAAATATTAAATTCCTCTTATGATTTGTTAAATCTCAGATAGGTAGACTTAGATAGATAGAGATAAATAGATAGGTGGGTAGGTAGATACACTTCCAATAATTACGTAAGTGTTCTGCTTTCCCCGTTTTTCTCACAGAAACACACACCAAAAACAAATCAAAATCATGAAACACAACCCCCTACCACAACCATCACCACCACCTTCCCCACTAACCCTAATTTATTTTCATCTGATTCTAATTCATTCCACACAACAACAAAAAATTGATGACCGCCATCACCTCTATCTAAAACCACGAGTTATCGTGATTCATTCTTCTTATTGATCCTTACTCGGAGTAAACGAAAGACTGAGAACAATGCATCATAGAACGTAAATTATTACGCAAGAGTTTTCCTTTTCGATTGATCTGAGTTACGTGTGTATGCGTTTGTGTTTGTAAATGTAAAATTTGTTAAATCACAGAGATATTTGTTTGTTTGTTCTTTTTTTCTCAAAAATTTCTTAGCTTGTGCTTCGTTTCTTTTTTCCTGTTTTTGTTGCTCTTTTTCTTCGGTCTGATCAATGAAGGAAGAGAACAGTGAATCGATAAATATGATGGGAAAAGAAAAGATAGCTACATGTGTTTTCAGATATTTTTGTTATATACTGTAATTTTGGTGTGTTTTGTTTTTTAAATTACTATTGGCTTTTTGATTGTTAATACACTCCAAGAGTGTGTGTGTAAGAGAGAGAGAGAATCACTCACCCCCCCCCCCTTGCAGTTGGCGATGAGCAACATATTATTCTTGACTGCCCAAACCTCAGTAGGTGGTGGAGCAGGATTCGAATCTGTGACGTGTTGTGATTAGAAGTCGAGTGCCTAAACCAATCAGCCAAAATCCTACAAGAGAAAGAGAGTTAGCGTAGACAGATGTGTCCTATTGGCTTAAGCATTTAACCTTCAATCAGTAGTATATGAACAGACGTTCATCGGGATAAAAAAAATCAAATAGCACGAAGACAGATTTGGTTTCAGAGAAGGCAAACAACACAGCGTTGTGAAAATACACAGGAGACGTGAAAGGGACACAAAGAAACACAATGTGAAGGCGAGAAGTACCGCAACACCGAAGATCTATGCAAATGGTGCGTTGAAGATAAGGTGTACATAATTTAGCTATATCGACATACCTAATTTCCAAACAAACATTCCTTTACCAAGTCTCTCGTCTTTTACCGTTTCAGTAGTACTGCTATTCGAATAAACATTCTGCACAACAATCAATTCACTTAGGAAGCTTCTACACCAATATATGCATAGTTCTGCAGTTAGTAGTGTTCTCTAAGCTGGTTGGTTTAGTTGCGGAGCTTTCGTCGTCCTTCTGGACAACATCTTCAGCGCAATTTTTAGCATAGACTGAACTGATTTAAATTTTCCATGAGTGATAGAATTGCGTCTCCCGGTAACCTTCTTTACATATGTATTGATCATTTTCTATTGACTTGGATTTTAAACTTTCTGGTCACATGATCTACCTTTTATCAGTTAGTATATTTGGTCCAGAAGGACGATGAAAGCTCCGCAACTAAACCAACCAGCTCAGAGAACATTACTAATTGCAAATCATCCACCTGAGCTACAAATCTTCTCTATTATATGTATAGTTCGACATCAAAATTATACTAATCATGTGGTGATGTTGTACGTCAGTGGCTCAGCGGTAGGACTCTCGTCAACCATGCCTCCTGTCGTCCGAGGTTCGATTCCCGGAAAACACATTCCTAAACCGGTAAAGAGGGAAGATTGGGCATGAGACTAGCAAACCTAACCCCGTGAAAAATAAACAGTACTCCTACCGAAACGTCAGAGCTGTCACTTGAAGCCCTATGTTCCACTCAGGACGTAAAGAAATAGAATAAGATAAATAATGATGTTAGTCAATAAGAATTATCGATCTTAAAGTATAGAAAGGATGAAAATAATTGTGGTACTTAATTCGTAGATATAAGCAGCAAACTAATGCATACATAATCAAATAATTGTGACTGGGAAGAATAAGTGAATGAATGACGTAAGAATATTAAGATACAAATATGTTAGTTGAATTAGCTAGGACAGTCATCATAATATAATATAAAATGATCATTTGTGAGACTCAGTACATATTACATGGACGGCTTCACAGGAGATCAGTTGAACCGGTAAATATAATAATAATTTGCTTTATTCCAGCAACAATACTAGTGGTACAGTGTGGAATTTTCAGCACGTATCTACAATATTTGCATCTAATTTTATCAAACATTTAAAAGGAGTATTTCAAAAAATAAATATAAAGACAACAAACACAAAAATAAAAAAATGCAAAAAAAGTACCAAGAAGTAGAAAGGAAAATAAACAGCATATAATAATATCTCAGTGTTGGGTAGTGGAAGCTATGATATGTTTATGCATGGTGACAGTAAAGCTGTAGTCATACAAGAAGTTATGAAATGATATTTAAGAATGTTTATCGCCAAGATGATCAGTTAATTTAGGTTGAAACAACACTAAACAATCATAAAATAACATTTCAGGGTTGTTTTTTTATCAGGTCTAATGCGGTGTTTGTAGTGGTAGTGTGAGTAATCCTGCATAATACAAAATTTTAAGATGGTGATAATGGCTTTCAAAACAAAGATTGTCAATGTTGCCGAACAAAAAAACAACCCCAAAACTAATAATTACATGATGGTTAATGACAGGACAATTTTGTAATACTCATAGTGCTAATATAGTCGGAACCAGTAGATACACAAAAGAAGGAATAGAGTAAAGTACAAAAAAGGAAGCCAATGTTAATAATTTAGGAGTTCACTACAGAATACAAAATAAGAGAGAAATAAAAGAGCCCAAAGTTATGTTATTAACAACAAAGCAAGTCATAGGTTTCACGCTTAACATTGTCTCTGTCGCTTAGAACACGGGCCAAGTATGGTATCGTTGAGTTCCTTCACTTGGTTGTACAAGCAGAGATTATTTTATACTGATTTCTGGTTTTACTTGATGAGATACAAGGCGAGAGTTGGGAATAGAGGGGGTGTTGGGGGTCGGAGAGTATGGTTTTAGACCATTTTTCGCATGTATTCAGATGCCTTTCAACTAATGTAGTGTCTAGCTGACTGAGTTTTACACCACTGGTCCTACTAACTATCTTCAACATCCTTCTCAGGATGGTATAGTCCTTTTTCAGTAGCCGAGGAAAGACTAACGGGGAGCAGTAAAGTAGAATAGGTAAGATACAAGAGTTGACAAATTGTGAAAGTATAGGTTGAGTGATTCCGGATTGTCTTAGTTTCTTGATGTAGTAGGTTAGACAGAACACTTTTTTAGAAATCGTTAGGATATGTGATGTCCAAGTAAGGTCGGAAGATAGAACTAGACCGAGGTATTTTGCATTAGACTTAGTTTCAATTTTAGTCCCCTCAATGCACCAGGCTTCATGAGTACTTACTAGTGTTTGTAGATCTCGTTTATGCCTAAAGGAGAAGTCGATAGTCTGACATTTTGAGGGATTCAGCATGAGGCCATTTAGTTTAGACCACTGACTGACGTCCGACAGGAAGCTATTTAATTTGAAACAGTCTGACTGAGACAAACAAATGGAAGAGACGGAATTACGCCATTTGCATAAGTTGGCTGGTAAATAATAAACAGCATAACTTAGCTGCTTTAAAAGTCTATGAAGGCTGTTCTCAGTTATGTGTGAAATAATCTTATGAACATAAGCTAGCCGTCAAAAGACATGACATCTACTCCCTCGTATCACTATATACAGACAACCACGGACATCAATTCTTTCAAATATTAGACAGAGGAAGCACCAAGAGTGCTAGAGAATTTTTAGAAGCCTGGTATTCCAGTGAATCGTCAATCAAAAGACAAAATTTACCAACCGATAAGAAGGCAACCTCACACACAAAGGGTCAAAATTCAAGTCCAGGAAACAATTAGTTCCAATACAAGTAGCCTAGAGGGTGTGAAAACACAAAAAAATAACCAGTAACGTTGAGGGTCACCAGAGATAAGTAATAAACTCGTGGAGAAA